AGTCCATAACTTGCAACCATCAATTTAGTGAACTTTCAAATGACTTACTACCGTGTTTTCCCGAAAATAAAACAGGGTCTTATTTTCTTTTGACCCCTGAAATAAGCTCTTGACCTTATTTTCGGGGAGGTTTTATTATTTTTGAGGTTCAGGAGGCTCTTTAACCTAAGCAGCCCCTGGATTAGCTGATCCAGAGAGGGCCGGAAGTCCTATCTATGTTTCTGGCACACTCTTGCCAGCCCTAGCTGGGCCTGCTGCTCTTTTTGCGGCTGCCACTAAGAGAAGGGGCGCAATAGCCAGGGTTTGCAGTAGCGGCAAGGTGCATGTGGGGCACGTTCCTCCTCCCCCCCCCGCAGGAAATGGCGGGGACCGGCTGTGCATTTGGTTAAAATTTTTAGGGGAGGGCTTATTTTGGGGAGAGGGCTTATTTTAGCTCTTGTGCTCAAAAGTCCAATTGAACTTATTATCAGGGAGGTCTTATTTTCGGGGAAACAGGGTATTAATCCTGCTGAGTCTTGGAGAAGACTCTAAACTTCTCCAGAGTCCAGAAGTACAGTTTCCTCTGCAGACCTTCAAGTCCATGTTGTGAAGTCAAAGAATGTGTAGGCAAAGCTAGAACATCACTTCCTGGCTTTAATCCATATAGAGTTTTTTTGGAATGATACCTTTGAGTGCTCTAAAACTAATGTGAATCTAGATTCCCAACAATAAAGAAATAAATACTCATAGTTCCCATCTTTGCATACCTGTCTATGTATGAACACTACAGATCCCAACAGTCTCCATGTGCCACCCTGCCGATCTACATGAAGCATGCGCAAAATCTGCAGAAACCGGATGCCTCTGGGGGAAAGAAAATGAAAGCAAACAAATTAAAAGAGAGTTTTGAAATTGAAGTGTGATTGCGGAAAAGAAAAAAGACAATGAATAATATACGTTCAGGACTATACCGGTAGTTGATACAGGTACATTTAACTATCATTAGCGCTATTCAAAGTTATGAAAAAACCACTGAAAAAACTGAGTTACGACTGCTGCAGCCTCCGCGTATTCATGTAATTGCGATCTGGGTACTTGACAACTGATTTGCACTCATGATGGTTATAGCATCCTACATTTATGTAACCACTATTTGTGACCTTCCCACACTGTCTTCTGACAAGCAAGGTCAATGGGGAAGCTAGCAGGAGGTCACAAGTTCATGTGACATCTCGCTTAATGACTGTGGAAGATTAGCTTAATGATCATGGCAAAACATGATCATTAAAATTGGGTGCACTCAAGTTGATGCATCACTTGATGAACACACCACTTAAAAGAATGAATCTTCCAGGATCTATTGAGATCTCAAATTGAGGATTACCTGTATAAAATTACAGTTAACATATTTACCTGATAGCTGATGTTGCAAAAACTTGACCTTTTGAACCAACACATAGTACTATCATGGAGGCGACAACTACAATAAGATCTGGAAATTAAAAACAGATAAACAAACAAATGTAGGTTAGAAAGTTTATGTGCCTTGCATACATTTAGATTTTATGCTAAAATATTGTACTATTTAGATGGTATGTGTTCAGTACCTGTTGATAATTAATATTCGATTATACAAATTTGCCTTGCCATTTTCCTTCTGCTTTGCATGCATTTTTACAAAGACTTTGTGCACAGTCACATATTTGCTATTGTTTTAAACACTTTTTAAGAAAGATTTTTATAAAGATTTCATGAACAGTAACATGTTTGCTAAGATGTAGAGGAGGTTTCAAGGCAATATTTGTTTTTAAGATTTTAAAAAAAAAATAAGGCAGTGTGTTCATTTCCAGTATCTTTTGAACTTTTACATGGCTGCTACATAGCAATACAATATTTTTTCCCCTGTGTCATAACATTGATTATTATATGATTTATCTATTTTTACAATTATGGACCATTTATCTCTTCCTCATATATTTTCTTGAAAACATTTATTGCTTAAGCATGCAACACTGGTGGTAAACTAGCAAAAAAGAACAGAAAAAATAATGGCAGTGCCGACTCTCCTTGACTGATTGCTCACAAGCAGTGATCCACATTCAGCAACTCCAATAAGCTTTCATTCGAATAATTTTCTTAGTAATATATCTTCCAGATTTGTATCATGATCACAGATCAAATCTATGATTAGTCGGTAATTCAAAACAGAGACAATCAGCCCTTCTTAGATAATGCAGCACAATATTTTCTGTTTTCTTATTTAAAATAAATCATACTATACAAAACCACACATACTCACCAATGATGGAAATGGGTTTTCTAGCAAAACGAAGCCTTCCCCAGAAGCCAACATATTTACTGCGGCATCCTGAAGACCACAATCGAACCACATACTCAGTTCCAAAAAATACCACTAATACAATTTCCTAGAGGAAACAGATAGGGATCCTGATTAATTGAATATGCTTTTAATGCTTTTCATATGCTATTAGGAGAAAACGGAATATCAGGTCTGGGAGTCTTAAAATAAATTGTGATAATCATCTCACAATATAGTATCCCTCCTGATTGGAAATTCAGATAGCTGTAGCCAGTGGTGGGTTCCTACCGGTTTGGCCGAACTGGTAGTGGTTTGGCAGCCTGGGTCGCTGGAACAGACAGCAACCCAGGCCTGCCACGCCCCCAAACGGGTTCTCTGGTCACCAGCGTAGGTGCCGCCATCTTGTTTTTCGCTTCTGTGCATGCGCAGAACAATTTTTACTGTACTGTACATTCGCACACACTGTGCCCACAAGCAAACCGGCAGTAGTGCCTGCCGGAACCCATCCCTGGCTGTAGCCCCCGCCCACTGAAAGAATACTAGTTGCGGCATGATAATCTTCAACAACAATCCAGAACACAATTAAAAATTAAAACTTTGTTCTGTATTTTAGTCACATTTGATCAAATTGTAACAATCATTTCCCAACATGGTGTCCCTCCTGATTGGAGATTCAGATAGCTGTAGCCCCCGCCCATCTAAAGAATAGTAGTTGTGGAATGATAATCTGCAAAAACAATCCAGAACACAATTAAAAATTAAAACTTTGTTTTGTTCTTTAGTCACATTTGATCATATCTTGAAAAACATACAGGTATGCCTGAAAAACATAAAAAGGCCTCTACATTAAAGGGCAATTCTGTACATGTAAAGTCCAAAATTAATAAAGTTTAATAGTATCTCAGATTTAAGTTAAAATGACACCTTAAGTTTCAATTTTTAAAGTCATATTAGAAAAATACCTACAAATGCAACAAGAAATTATATTTTTATATACCAGCTGTTCAATTCATTGGAAAACTTTGTAAAAATTAAAGTTTCTAGTAGAAAGAATGCCAAAAAGAATAAGCAAAATTTTGATAGAATAATAGAATTGCTTGTATTTTCTTTTATTACATTCATGTTTTTATTTAGTAAAATATTTATCAGTCAATTGTTGTATAACTTGTATATAGATACTTGGAACCACTACTAGCACTGTGGCTAAATTTAGCTTTAAAATGTTTGAATTTCCTATGTTCTTTTCACTACATATATAAGTGGAAAAGTAGGTTCCACACTGCCCTGCGTAAAAATGCCTAATATGCAAATATTTCTTTAAAAAGAAATACCAGAATGTTTATGCATAAACTATGTTGTTGTTATTCTGCAAAAGAATCTTTTTTTAAACTAAGAAAATATATGACAACCATAATTAATTGACTCTGAGAAAGGGAAAATAATGAAGTACAGTGAACCTAAACTTCCTACATGCAAATTAGACTTTAATATTGTAAGAAGGGTAGGAAAATAGAAAGAAGCAAGGGGATAAATTATGGGTGCCTTTAGAGTCACAATGTGTGGGTTTGTGGAATAAGGGGATAGCATGTGGGAAATTTGCATAAGAGCTGTGGGTTTTTAAAGACCCTCCATGATTTGCTGGGTAACAGGAACGGTGGCAAATATGCAAATGTGTGTTGCCCTAAAGACAATGAAACAGACATACAGTCAATGGTTTCTGTCATCCAGTTCTTTGCATGACATGCAGACAAGCTTAGAGAACATTGATGGTTCTATAAACTCCTGCAATTGGAAAGAAGCACCAGTCAGCTTACACCAAGACACATTTTTCTCTCCTGACATTTTGATAAAGGCATATTGACCTAAATGAGACCCATGTTATTCTGGAAACAAAAATGCCAGGTAACTATTAGCAACTGGCAAATTCCCCTCCCCAACCCTTGACTTGGTGACATACAAGTGTTTTTTAAAAAACATCTTCCCTTGTATTAGCCCAATAAATCCACTGCAGGAGGAAGAAGAGGAGGCTGGTTGATATTTGTTGCTATATTTAGAGACAGCTGTCAGAATAGCTGCTTAGCTGCTAAAGTCTCTGCTGTTTACATTTACAATAAAATGAGATAATCATTAGAAAGGCAAATAAACGATTCTTCTGTGAACTACTTCAGTATACCCTGCATACCATTCCTCATTAAACTGGAATTTCAGTAGTTTCAAAATGAAAGAGGCAAACATAACAGCAACAACTTGCATGCTCCCCAACTCTCAATGAATCTTAATGGCTCAAATAACAATAAATCAATAAACAACAATAATCAACAATCAACAATAAAGCAGAAAATATTTGAAGATATGTATGTATGTATGTAGGTATGTATGTATGTATGTATGTATGTCAAAGGTGCTTTTATAATAAGTATTGACCCCTTTATATTGATTACATAAAATAATAAGAATAAATGTTTCTCCTGGTTGCTTTAACAAAACTTTCCAAAGGGTTAATTCCAGTGGTTCTGGGAATACTACTCTAAAAGGCAACTCAAAGTAATCAAGTAACAATACAGAGCACATAAATGCTTAATTAATCCATAATAAAAACACAATATAATATTGCAAATGTAATATTGATAGCAAACGGTTTCTACCAGCATCTACATTTTCCTGAGCATAAATAATTGCATGACAAAGTAGCATCAATGTGCACATTGGAATATCTGCAAGAAATATCATTTGCTTGCAAGCAAGAACTGTTGGGACTATAAAATACTTAGAAAATGAAGAAGCTAAAGTGTTCTGGGACTTTAGAATTCAGACAGACAAATACCTGCCACACAACATCTCAGACTTAAGTGTTGATAAGAAAGATAAAAAAGTCTGAATAGTAGCCATTGTGGTACCTGGAGATAGAATAATTCAAGAGAACATACTAGAGAAAATCACAAAATAAAAAGACCTGCAAATAGAAGTAGAATGATAATGAGAAAAGAAAGCAAACAAAGTATCAATAGCAATAGGCATCTTGAGTATAATTCCAAACATCTGGAGCACCATTTGAACATCATCAGCATTAACAAAATCACCATCAATTAATTGCAAAAGGCAGCTTTACTTGGAACAGCTTACAGTACATCCTGAGACCTTCAAACAACATTTGCCTATCACAGATCCTTGGGAAGGAGTCGATAGGTGGATAAAAATTTCAAATCCATGCTACACACCTGACTGACTGTCCAACCATTCATAATAATTCCATATTAATATCACACCTGGCATAGAATATTATCAAAATCACAATCTTTCCAGAGAGCTAAAAATAAATATAATAATAGCAAATTCTTGGCAGGATATACATTAGTGTCAAATACATTTATTTTGGATACATCACGGTGGCAGAAGTTTTCTAACACACCTGTTATTCAGTATGCGCATGATAAAGAATATAAAAAAATAGCAAATAAAGACATTTCCCTACTACATGTTTCAGTGCCTTCCATCTATCTTTGAATCAATCAAAAAGTGTGTGTGTGTGTGTGTGTGTGTGTGTGTGTGTGTGTTACATTTGTGCTGATAAATAAATAAAGGCTTTCTGCCTGGTTGGCTCCTAGGGTGAGCCGAAAGACAGAAAAGGGAAGCAGTATGCTCCCTCCCATATTTGGGCATACCAGGGGTTGTGACACAATACATATACATATACATATACATATACATATACATATACATATACATATACATATACATATACATATACATATACATATACATATACATATACATA